TATAAAAAATTTTTTCAAACAAAAGTTGTTTGCTTTTTCACGTAGAATAAAATGCCGTAATAAAAAATATGTATTTCTATCTAAAAAAGCAAAGTTGACCTTGTCCTGACCTTGGCGACGTCATCTTAGGTCAAATAACTACTGTCATTAAATGCGACTTTTTAAGCCTTACAACTTTTATTCGAAACATTTTTCTCTAAAATGCTCCCCCGCCGAGTTTTCTTGCCGTTGCCGAACTTATAGGACACACTGTATATATATATATATATATATATATATATATATATATATATTCCCAGACAGCACACATGTCCAAAACTGGAACATAAGACGTCTTTAAGTTGTCTTAATGATGTCTTAAAAACATCTTATGTCCTAATTTTGGAAATTGTACTGTCTGGGTTATATATAATTATATATTATATATTATATAAGGTGTCTCAGGAGTAATAGACGTAAAAAGAACAGATAGCAGGAGTAAAAACAAAAAATAGTTATGTACCATTTTTCGAAAATCGCAATAGTCATTGAGTTACTTAATTAAAACTTGCGAGCTAATGTGCGCATCGCAGGCAGTAGACACTAAAGACGCTAGAGAAAAGTATAATGACTTACCTCTTAGATACACGTAACAATAATAAATAAGCAAATTCACTGGTAAAGAACAAAATAAAAGCAAGAATGTACGATTCCAAAATTCAACATCCCGCGAGAGCGTAACAACTTAGACAGCACAATATCTAAAAGTGGGACATAAGACGTCTTTAAGACGTCTTTAAGTTGTCTTTAAGATAAGATTATAAAGTATTGTCTTAAAGATGTCTTAAAGTTGCCTTAAAGACGTCTTATGACTCGATTTTGGACATTTGTGCCGTCTGGGAAACGATACGAAAATGACACACTTATAGTTATAAAAAAGTTATTAAATAGTTATTAAATAGTTATATTCTCAAGCGAACGAGTATAGCGAAGTAACGACTGCTTATCTTCTTATATCTTCTTATATTATAACTTCCACCTTCCACTCTCGTATATAATAATGATGCAAGCTAGAGTTCAGTACAACTTTACTTCCTGACCGTTCCATAGGATACTGCGCATTGAGTTGTTTCATTGCCACGTGCTAATTCTACAGAGCCTTTCTAATGTCAGGAGCGTGTTTTCGTGTATCATGCTATAGAAAAAAGAAGAACAGCAATAGCACTTGTGGGTATTTTTTTAAAGATACAATATATCGTATTACATTTTTATTTTATTTGTGAATATTTGTTTTCAATAATTTTCTAAGCGTTACGCATGAGATATTATTGTCGATGCGTTTTTTTTTAAGTGATATCTCTAATAGGCCTAGTCTACTGATAACTGAAAAAACTAATTAATTAGACAGAATGAATAATGTACAGACACATATTATATAATATAATATGTATAAAAAAAATAATATATATAAATAAAATTCAATCCGAATTTCGAAATTTTTTTAGAATGAAAAACATTATGTATCTGTTTATCCTTCATTCTGCTTCCATCCAATCAATTAGTCTTTTCAGTTATCAATAGATTAGGGCTGTGTTCGCTCACGCGCTGAAAGCGTCATTCTACCTTTGTTACCCATTATACGTCAAAGAAAGATAGAATAACGCTTTCAGCGCGCAAAGCGAATGCAGCCTGGGCCTACTGAGGATACCACTTAAAAAAAAAAAATGCGTCAGCAATAGTATTTCATGGAAAATTATTTAATGTGGAAAATTATTAAAAACAAATATTCACAACAATAATAAAAATTTGTTAAGATATATTGTATCTTTAAAAAAATATCCTCAAGTCATATTGTTCTCCCTTCTACGGGCTTCACAACGCGACATGACGTTCCTAACACTCGAGAAAGACTTGTTAGCTCCGCGCGAAGCAACGAAGCAAAAGGACAATGCGAAGCGAAGTCTGCCCAAAATCGGCCGTAAAGTGTCGAACTCTGAGTAACAAAACTTATTGACTTTATATAAAAAATTGGTTTATTGAAAAATATATTTCAATTAAAAAACAACACTGCTTTTCTCCTCTTTTATTCAAACAACTCTTTTGCAGTTTTGAACATGTTTTAAACAAGAACGAAAGAAAAATTTATTTAAAACAGAAACATTTAAAACATATTTAAGACACGCAAGCTTCAACATGTTATCTTATTACCTCATTACTATGAAATTACCGAAATATTACCATGAAATTACATTGACTGCAGAATATGAATTGTATTGATTTTTTAAACTTTCGCGGTGTCCATGCATATCAGATTTGGTTTTTGGATTTGAGCCACGTGAATTTATCTTTGTTTGATTCCGACGTTTCATAAACATTTCAGTCCACTTCATCAGGTCGATCCTCCCTGATGAAGCGGACTGAAATATTTATAAAATGTCGGAATCAAACAAAGATGAATCCACGCGGCTCAAACCCGGAAACCAAATCTGATATGAATTGTATTAAGTAGTATTAAGGCGATGCCGCTATGATATAGATACATGAATGTGCAAGTGTGTGTGCTACGTTATCATTTCAATTTTCTTATACATAAACAGTACATAAATATAAATACCACGCCGATATTTACATTCTCTACGAAATAGGCTTTCGCTGCTTTTCTGATGAATTCTTCAAACCGCTTGTATACTGGATGAATCAAAAATAATTTTTTAGAGAAATATGTTGTATGCATAAGTATAATTTACGAATATTGTTTTGAAAAAAATTTTATCTAATATGTGAGCTTTCTATATAATTTTCAATTGAAATTTGAGATATTATTTTCGTTACGCACTGAGCAATGTTTCACTATATTTTCACACGTAATTTTATCATATAAATTGAAGCAATAAGTGCACTGTAATTATTGCAAAAAGAAATCATTACGATGGTAATAGTTTCACATTGTTTTCATCCCTGAATAAGGAATTATGTATTTCATTTTTACGTGTACTTTCACCATAAAAAAATATTTTTAATTCAATCAAGTCAGTACAAAGTAATATTTGTAGGAAAATGACCTTGACGTGATATCGACTCCCTTTGCAAAACTTTCGTCGCTGATTGTACCAAATAAAAAATCCCTTTGTACGATGAAAATTCGTGCGAAAACAAGGCGGAGCATTCCTCAATATGAAATGAAAACAATATGGAACAGATACTGTCATGACACCGAATCCTTCTACAAAGATTACTCCTTTCTAACTGCGCCGAATTAAAAACCCTTTTACATAGTGAAAGTACGTTGGAAAATGAAGTGCAGCATTATTCAATATGTAACGAAAACAATGAGGAATCACAGCTATCACGATATCGTCTCCCATTGTAAAGATTATTTCGCTCTAAATGCGCAGACTGAAAAACTTTTTTGCATGTTGAAAGTACATGCTAAAATTAATTAGAGCATTATTCAATATATGTTACAAAAACGATAAGGAATCGCAGTCACGTTACCATCTCCCTTTGCAAAGATTACTTCTTTCTACCTACACCGAATTAGAAACCCTTTTGCACAATGAAAATACGTACAAAAATGAAGTGGAGCTTTGCTTATGATATAAAAAGGATAAGGAACTATTGCTATATATACTGAATCTATGTTGCAAAGATTACTGGCTGTGCCAAATTGATAACCCTTTCGTATAATGAAATTACGTGTAAAAAAATTTTTTTAACTCCAATAGTTAACGCAATCTGCTCAGCGGCAATGAGCGAGTGGTTTGTCCAGTTCTTCATAAGTGGGAGCTGGTAGCCTACGTTAAGATTCCAGCGTATGCAACTAACTAATGCAATTGATTAGTTCTGTTTATGGTTCAGTAACCGCATCGGCAAAGTATGCTCTGCATCAGTTTCGAGCCGGTAGGTCCAGTGGGGATGCTTTTTTAGTCATTGACATGAGCCTCCGTTTAGTAGCAGGTTTACCGCAAAGAGATTTGAGTGATTATTGAGTCGTGACAAGTATCAGTATTAGCTGCTTTAATCTTCTCTTTAATTGTTCGTATTTTAAGATCTCTGTGTATCAGTTCATTAGAGACGAACCAAGATGCGTCCAGGATTGCTCGCAGAACCTTTGATTGGAAGCATTGCAAGATCTCCAAGTCGGAGTTACTCGCTGTTCCCATACGTCCAGACGGGTTTTAATATAGTTTTGTACACTAAAAGCTTAGTATCAAGCAAGAGTGGGGATCTTCTTCCAATAAGTCAATATAGCTTAGGAAGTTTCAGCCCAAGTTGTTTCCGCTTATTAAATATATGCATTTTCCATGTTAGGTGCCTGTCTAAATGGAGCCCCAAGTATTTGGCATTTTAAGCTTGTGGTATTTGTTTCTTATTGATGCACACTGATGGACACTACTTCTGTCGCAATGTGAATGTTATCATAGTGGATTTTAATTCATTTACCCTAATTCTCCATCTATCTAGCCATAATTTGTTTAACGATTCTTGGAGAAGATGGAAGGCTCTCAGTGGGTTGTCATCTGTTGCCATCAATGCTGTGTCATCTGTAAACATAGCGGTAGTAATGCTATCGCATATCGGGATCTGCCATATAAATTTGGTACAGCACTGGTCCAAGGACATTGCCTTGAAACACCCCCGCGGCAATTAGATATAGTGCAGTCGTTTCGTCCTGGAACCTCACCTGAAAATATCTATCATTAAAATAGGACTTAAGCACTTGGTAGTAGGAGCAAGGTAAATTAATTTTGAATTTACACAGGAGACTTCTATGCCAGACACTCTCAAATACTTGAGAGATGTCTAAAAAGATTGCTGAACAATATTTTTTGGACGTGCAAAAATGAAGTAAAGCATTATACAATATGGACGAACAAAATAAGAAATCTATGTAGATCTAAATAATTCCAAATTTCTGCGCCTTATTGTGTATAACTGAATTTAATGGTTTTATATAGTATAGATATGTGTGAAGTAAAAGCAAAATGATATGTATGATTAGCTCCGACACGTAATCTTTTCAATTTCAATTATATAGTGTAATATTTATAACAACCTTTGCAAGCATCATTTATAAACAGCATTCTTCAACCCGTAAATATTTATTTATTATATGCACCTTTAACATTTAAAGAAAATGATTTTTAAAGGTTTTTATATCGTCAAAAAAACTTTATTTTTAATATTAAAATAAACGTTTTTTTTAATAAAAGAAGGAGACTTATCCCATTATTTTTAACATTTCTAAAAATGTTTTTAAAAATGTTTTCCAAATGATTTTAAAACATTTTTTTTAACATCTTTTAAATATTTTTTTCTGATTGGGTGGTTTATGTACAGAAAAGTTAAACTGGCATACACATTGTAGCACATATATTTCTATAATATCTGTATAGAAAATAGATATGCAAAAAAAGGAGGAAAGACTAGCGTGTTCGACATGTCGGCGTTTATTACGTATACCATTTTGAAGATCGCATTTACTTCACATATCTATATATAAAACCAATAATTTTAGTTATACATGATAACGCGCGAGAATATGCAAATTTATATTGCCATCTAGATTTATTCTCCTCTTTGTTTCATACTGAGCAATGCTCCAATTTATTTTCGTACGCACTTTTACTATGCAAAATGGTATTCTATTCGGTCTATCCAGTACAATTTTTGCGAAAATATTGATTTATTATAGTGCACCTTGTATACCAGCAAATTAGAAGAATCATCAAAAGCATAATTCGGAGAGAATGTGAATATTGGCAGCGTTGCATTCATATTTACGTATGTTTTATGTGTAGGAAAGTTAAACTGGCAATGCAGCACACATATTTGCATAATGTCTGTGTAGAAAGCATATATATAAAAAAAAAACAAAAAAAAGCTAGAGTGAACGTGTCGGCGGTTTAATCACACATATCATTTTATCTTTACTTCACACATATCTATATATAAAACTAATAAATTCAGTTATACACGAAACGTGCAGAAATTTCGAAATTTTTAGACCTATACAGATTTCTTATTTTATTCGTCCCATATTGTACAATGCTCCACTTCATTTTTGCATATACTTTCACTATGTAAACGAGTTTTTAATTCGG